AAGACGTTATCTATAATCATGCCAAATTTCATGATTAAAAGAATTTGGGAGCATAGTCAAAGAGTTGCGTAAACAAGGCAGTGTCAGTGTGCTTACAGTATTGTTAGTATAATATGTAAATAACCAAAAAGGGTCCATGAAATTTTATGGCAAAACACCACACTTTAGCCTCCAATCTGTAGCTTGCTCATAGTAGTTTCAGGCCCTAAAATGTTAGATTATATTTGGGGGATGAGATTTTAAGAAATCCGAGTAGCAAGATTAATCAACCAAAACATTAACATGCATCATTATAAAGCATTTCAACATTAGCTATCATAGGAGAACTAATCTTTTTATAAATAGGCAACCTCAACATGCAAGGCCATGGCAACAAATGTAAGGAGCAACCATATCACAACATCATAGTTCAACCATATAATAGCAAGCATACATGCCATAAATAACAATGTAAAGTTAACATTAATGGCTAATTAGATCCCACTACCTTGATCCAATGCTTTTTGTTTTTCTTGTTGATTGAGCTCAAATTATTCTTATCTTTTCATTACATCATCCATGGTTTTGTTGCATTTTCTGGCTCTTCTATAATTGAGCTTATTTTAGGTTAAGAGTCCATACATTGAGTTAGTGTCTTTTTTAGAGTAAAATCGTCATAATTAGTTATTAATTGTATTCCATTAATTTCTAGGACAATTGATGCCTTAAATTGTTACTTTTCAGTGTAGGACACTTGAGATTAGAGCCAAGGTTGAAGACTCAAGGCACAAAGAACAAAAAGAGGAGCCTCTACCATGGTTCGCCGCAGCACACTTCTGCCTTCGCCGTGGTGAACGTCTGCTTTCTAGAATGAAACTCTCTACCATGGTTTGCCGCGGCGAACCCCTCGTATCAGCACATTCAGACCGGACCATTTTGGGAAAATTTGACTTGCCCACTTCCATAAACCGACCCAGACACGTCATATTCGGGTTAGAAACCCTATTTTTAGTATGAAGGAGGTCAGACATGAAGATTCAGCCACCATCTACGTTTTTCTCTTCATCTTCTCTCATCTCTCCTACCAGAACCCTAATCCCTCACCTTCCACTGTCACCTTCATCCATGGGCAACACTGAGTCAACTTCAATAGAGATGTTTCTGCACACCATGAGTGGCTAGGCTTCCTCCAGCTCTTGAAGATGGATGATTGGCATGAGTTCTAAGAGCTAAAAAGGGGAGTTTCAGTTTCATCTTAGTTTTAGCTATGTATTTATGAATTCCTAGGTCTAGGATTTGTAAATTCTTAGTGAAAGACTTTGATTGATATGTAATCATTAGTTGATGATTCATATTTGTAGTTGGATTGGTTAATGTTGGATTTCATGCTTCAATATATGTAGTTACATATATGTTCTTTGTAGCTTTATTGACTCTCTTCATCTTGCATGGTCATGTTTTGATGATGAGTTGATTTTTTGCTGCATTGAACCATTTGCATTAATCATTCTTAATTACACATTAGGGAAGCTTATTAATGTTTTCATTAATGAGTTCCTTCATGTAAGCATTGGACTCAATGAGTTATTAAGGTTGTTATCAAGAAAACCTAATAAATTTCTAAAACTCCCACATCTTAAGAGAACTATGATTGCCAATAGGGGTGGGAATAGGCCAGGCGGCCTGTCAGGGGCCTATAGCCTGGCCTGCTTTCGGCCTGATCAGGCCAAGCCTGTTAGAAAATAAACACAGGCTCAGGCTTTTTTCAAGGCCTATTTCACCTAACAGGCCAGGCTCAAGCTCTATGAGAAGCCTATTAAGCCTGTCAGGCGACCTGGGCCTGTTAAGTATTTTAAATATTATATGTACATTATGCAAAAGATAGGTCTCGAAGTTAAGACCTGATGAGAAGAATGCAGCACCTCCACCACCAGACCAACGTGTGTTGTTAATATGTTTTCGCATAATATATAAGTTTAAAGCTACTTAAATAAATTGGCAAAAAAATTATTTGCTCCACACAAACTAAGTTCCATCAGCATTTTCGCGGACACACAACTTCCCTAGGTTTAGCATTTTCGCCTCTGTTCATCGCAACTCGCCGAGAGCTCGCTGGCACCACCGCTCTTCTTAGTTCTCGGAATCTCAGTCGAAGACTATCTCAGATTCAGTTTCTAGAGCTCGTCGGCACCACCGCTCACTCTCAAGTCTCCATATCCGAGCTTCAAAAAGTTGAACGGTCGGCCTTCATTCAGACCTTCGGTGCTCGCGACGTCGGCTCCTCCTCCTCATCAGTCTCCAGTTCTCGCGACATCGACTCCTACTCTAGTGCTCGTGAGTCATAACGTCTGCTCCGATCTCCAGTGGTCGCGGCCCTGTCTCCAGACTCCAGTGCTCGCAAGTCGCAAGTCGCAACATCGAGTCCTCCTTCTGGTCAGTCCCCAGTCCCCACTCCTCAGTCATTATCATAAAATAAATGCCGTGTCTGTTGATTCTGTGCTAAACTGGAAAATTAATCCCCGCTTGAAGTGTTCATTTTTATTCTGCTTTTGATCATAAAATAAATGCTACGTGCTAAACTGGGAGCTATTTTCAAGTGAATTGATCCATCGCTATTTTCTGTGCTTTTGTTCATTTTTATTCTGCTTTTATTAGGCGGGGGTGGAACCGTGGAAGGCAGAGGGAGTTAGATGGGATAGGAATTTTTTGGGGAGGGGAAGGGGGGTGGCCAGAAGAAGAAGTCAGTGAAAGCTGGGAGCTATTTTCAAGTGAATTGATCCATAAATGAATTATACTGTTTGCAGAATTGATCCCCAGTGGTACCATGAAGCGAATACATGATTTTAGTTAATGCTGTACTGATACATGATTTTTTTTTCAATTTATTGTTCTGATTTTTTGCATCAATAATGGAATGCTAATATATGCTGTATGTTTCATTTCCAGTTAATGTCATCTCCGTTTGAGAGTGAAACAATGTCATCTAATTCAGTTCCTTCTAACGCTATTGTGGCTAGTCAACAAACACCAACAGATTCTAGTCAACAAACTAACGAAGGAAATGATGTTAATGATAGTATTATTCAAAAGAAGAGGCGAAAAACCTCAACCATTTGGGAGGAGTTTGATCAAGTTGAAACTGATAATGGGATCAAAGGGAAATGCAAGTATTGTAAACAACTATTCTCGTACTCAGGGAAGGGAGCTAGTACTAGCCATCTTCGAAGACATGTCACTGTCTGTTTGCAAAGAAAGTTGCTTGTTTCTTCACAAAGCAAGCAACCCACAATTCCATTTCAATCTTCCAATCTGAGCATTAATCCATTTTTGACACCGGGTGCTAGATATTCTAATGAAAAGATGAGGGAAATAATAGCTACTGCAATCATGGTGCATGAACATCCTTTTAATATTGTTGAGGATGAAGTTTGGATGTAGGGCTTTCAATATGCAAATTCTGAATTTCAAAAAGTATCTCGAAAGACAGCAAGAAATGATTGTTTAGCGATATATGAGGCAGAGAAGAAACAATTGAAGGCCTTATTAGAAGGTGTGAACAAGATTAGTGAAAGAGAGCCTTTCTGTCGTTCGCTTAGAGGTTCTCGCTCAAAAATTTATCCAAGCTATGCAGTAGAGCAAACTCGGGTCGTTCTCTTTTGGGAGCCTAAATTAGATGTCTAAGTTAGATTAATGCTATGCAGAGTAATGAAAAAGGGGTTTTTTGGTGTTTTTAGCCATTAATGAAATGCCAAAACTAAATGCAATGAATACTGATCTAAGTTACTATGTTTTTGGATTTTTCTAAGATAGTGGTGATGAAGTGAAGTTAATGATATGAAATCTCTTGAATATAGCTTTGAAGCAATCATAGTTCAAAATAATTTTGGGAGTAGAAATCACCAAGTCTTCTAATGAAAACCTTAAAGAACCCTTTAAGTCTAGGATCTTAATCAATGTCACTCATTTCATAAGATCCTATTAAGCTCACTTGGTGTGTGTATTAAGATTAATTAATGCACTTGGTTAAATGCAAGCTCAGATCAACTCAACAATCACACATTACCATGCAAGACAGAGAGTATCAAAAGGGATGCATAGCAACATATATGTAACCACATATATTAAAGCTCAAATTCAACATTAACTAATCCAATACACAAAACAATCATCCAGAATTGATTACAACCATAATCAAAATAGCTCAGCTCAAATTTACAAATCCTAGACCTAGAAATTCATAAATAAAGAACTAGAACTCATAGATGAAGCTAACTCCCCTTTGAAGCTCTTGGAACTCATGCTCCTTCCACCATATTCAAGAGTTGAGAGGCTTAGCTAGTCATAACTCTTGAACCAACTCCAACTAGATAATGTTCTTCATCCATGGTAGCAGCAGATGGAAGAAATGGAAATGGGATTAGGGTTTCTGAGGTGAAAATGAGAGAAGAGGATGAAAGATACGAAGGTGGAGGCTCTATCCTCGTCATCTGCTGTCATCATACCTAAAATAGGGTTTCTAACCCGAAACTTACGTGCATGGGTCGGTTTTTGGGGATGGGTAGGTCAAAATTTCCCGAAATGGTCGGGTCTGGAATTTGCTGCTCCGAGGGGTTCGCCGCGGCGAAGAATAGGTTCGCCGCGGCGAAACATGGCAGAGACCTGCCTTCACGGATGGGATTTCGCCGCGGCGAAGTGAGATGTTGGCCGCGGCGAACCTAGGCAGAGGATCTTCTCTTGTTTCTTTTGCCTTGAGTTCTTCAATTCTGACCCCAAATCTTTAGTGTCCTACAATAAAAAGTAACAAATTGAAGTATCAATTGTCCTAGAGGTTAATTGAATCCAATTAACAACCAATTATGACAATTTAATCCTCAAAATGACACTAACTCAAAGTAAGAACCATAAATCTCAGTTAAGCACAATTTTCACTTAAAAGGACCAGAAAGTATGACAAAAATCATGGATAATGATATGAAAAGAAATTAATATTTTGAGCTCAATCAATTAGTTTGACTACTGATATGTGGAAATCAGCTCACCAAGTAGCTGAATACATGGTCATCACCGGGCATTTCATTGATTCGGGATGGAATCTTCAGAAGCGAGTTTTGAGTTTTGTGAAAGTTCCTGCTCCTAGACGAGGCATTGATGTGGCAGATGCTATTTTCAAGTGTTTGAAGAGTTGGGGTATTGAAAACAAAGTGTTCTCTGTGTCAGTTGATAATGCTTCTTACAATGATTCTTGTTTAAGAGCTCTTAAGGACACTTTATCACTTAGTAGTTCATTACCTCTAGGTGGTGATTTGTTTCATGTTAGATGTTGTGCACACATATTAAACTTAATGGTGCAAGATGGCCTTGGAAGAATTAGGGACATTATACATAATGTTCGAGAGAGTGTGAAATATATCAATTATAATGACTCAAGGCTGAAAGCATTTTGTGATGTTGTTGAGCAGAAACGTTTGAAGGAAAGAAAGCTTATTCTTGATTGTCCAACGAGGTGGAATTCGACATATAGGATGCTGTCTATTGCTTTGAAGTTTAAGGTTGTCTTTCCTGATTATAAGGAAAGAGAGCCACATTATAACTATGCACCATCAGAAGAGGATTGGAATAAGGTTGAGAAGATTTGTAAACTTTTAGAAGTATTCAATCTAGCCACCCATATCATCTCAGGTAGTGAGTATCCTACTGCAAATTTGTACCTTCCTGAAGTGTGGAGAGTGAAGCAAGTAATTGACAATGCTATAGAAGATGGTGATTTCTTCATAAGAGAAATGGCAGCTTCAATGAAAGAGAAGTTTGACAAATATTGGGGAGAATGTAATATGCTAATGGCCATTGCAAGTGTTTTGGATCCCAGGTGCAAATTATATGTTGTTAATTATTGCTTTCCTTTGATTTATAAGCCTGATTATGTGGCTTCTGAGAATATAGATAAAGTAGTGAGTGCTTTGAGATCAATGTATGATGAGTATGTAAGCATGTACAAAGGAGACACAATGGGTAATAATAAAGTTGATAATGCTAGTAATAACTCTTCTGCCGATGCATCTGGTTCTTCTATAGTTACTGGATTTGATCAAATCATGAGTATTGTTCGTGAAAAGCAAGCAGTCCCACCAATGAAATCAGAATTGGAAGCTTATCTTGAGGATGGTGTTTACATTCCTGATGGTAATTCTAACTCCTTCAGTGCCTTGGAATGGTGGAAAAATAATAGCATGAAGTATAAGATTTTATCTAAGATGGCTGCTGACATATTAGCTATTCCAATCTCAACCATAGCATCGGAGTCCACTTTTAGTGCTGGAGGTAGAGTTATCGATGAATATCGTTCCAAATTGAATGAAGAATCAATTGAAGTGCTTATTTGTGGTGGGGATTGGCTTCGCAATAAGTATGGCTTGAGGAAAAAACCAAAGGTATAAATTTTATACTGTAAAAGTTATATCGTTTCTTATTCTTCTTACTTCTTAAATTGTGATATGATCTAATATTATACATTTGATTTGTTTTTTTTTGAAGGTGCTCGAACAAGATGAAGAAATTATATTGAAAATTTGATGATTTGCTACTGGTGGCTATTCTTCTTAAACTTGTTTGTAATGTTGTTGTACTTGGTATGTTCTTGTTGAATGTTAATTAATAACATTATTTCAACTTGTATTTTAAGTACTTGAGTTGTGGATTGTGATTTTATTTGAGTTTATTTAGTTGTATGTTCTCTCTCTTTTTTTCCTGTTTGGCAACTATGTTTCAGATCACAAGTGGCCTGTTTCGGCCTGTTTAAAGACATAGGCTTGTATTCTGTTAAGGCCTGTTCCCGGCCTGTTTAAAGGCTTAAGCCTGTGTTTCAATAGGCCTGTTAGCCTGTTTATAGATTTTTAAAAGATACAGGCCTGTTAACAGGCTTCAGGCTAGGCCAGGCTCTTATATAGGCCAGGCTTAGGCCAAAAAAAAGCCTTTAACAGGCTACAGGCCAGGCTCAGGCCTATTTGTTACAAATCAGGCCGAGCTGTTAAGACGATGGCCTGGCCTGGCCTGGCCTGTTCCCACCCCTAATTGCCAAGAACCCATTTTCAAGAGGTTTTATCAATTGATTCAGTACTTGATTTCCATCCATTTCATCTTAATCTCCCAAAAATCCAAAAATACATTTACATTCTATTGGATTTTATCTTAATTGCAAATCTCAATGAAAACCCCCCAATCTTTTCAACTCAATTTGCATAACCATGGCATTTAGTTAATCTAGGATCTTAATTTCGGCTCCACAAGTGAAACGACCCAAGGTTTTGCCTATAGTACAATCCTTGGATAAATTTTGAATTTGGCCCCAAGGTGTAAGCAAAGACAAGTCAAGGTGATTTTCAAGTGGCGCCGTTGCCGGGGAGCCAAGAAATTGGTTCTCTAGGTTAGCTTGTGTCATTGGGTTGTCAAATGAAGTTTTGATCCTTTTAGGTTGCATTTTAGTTAGTTTAGTTGCATATTTGTTCATAGTATAGGTTTCATCTTGCATAGCATCAAAATTTTGGAAATACAAACAAATATACTGATTTTCTACACTTTCAGCATTTTCACTTTGCATCAGTGGTGTCCAGTATCTGATAAGCTTTCTGTGACAGTTCGTCGTGGCCAACCTGTCCTTTCGCCACGACAAACTTTTTGAAAAACCTAAGGATTCCTCTCAGGATACCTTCGTCGCGGCACACTCCTGCTTTCGCCGCGGCAAACTTCCTGCACTCAGTTGTCTGTTCGCCTCTCTCACCTTTTGCCGCGGCCAACCACTACTTTTATCGCGGCGAACTATCCTGAAAAGTTTTGAAACTTACACTTTTTGCTTCTTTTTTTGTGCATACATACTCATACTAATCCATACACTTGCATCCATCACAACTCATACTTTTATCTGACTTTGTGTGCTGTAAGTCAATTTTGTTTGCTCTTACTCTTATGACTCTTTTCTTTCATAACACGAAAAGAAAAACTTGTGCCCTTTAACCCTGAAACTGAGAGAAGACTCAGAGAGATAAGAAGAGAGGAAAGAGTTGAGGGGACAAGTGAGTTAGTGGTTAAACAAGAGAACATTTCTGTGGAATCTAGCCTATCTAGTAGTGAGAGTGAGCCTACTGATCAAGAGATAATGACTGATTTACCACCTAACCACCCTAATCCTAACCCCAATGCCAACCAAGTGAGGAATGGAGGCAATGGAGGGAATGGAGAACAAGAGAGAGTGGGAGAAAACAATGGGAACCCTAAAAGAAGAACAATTAGGGAAGCAACCACATCTAATATCAATTTTGACCCATTTACTGCTGCTTGTCCAAATTTTGAAGTTAATTTTGAAATTAAAGGATTATTGATTAACTCCCTTCCAAAATTTCATGGCTTGACAGGAGAAGATCCATATCTTCATTTGCAATCCCTTTCTATGATCTGCCAGTGTATGAAGCCTGTGGGAGCATCGTTAGATCAAGTGCTATGGAAGGTTTTCCACCTATCATTGGAGGGAAAAGCTAGAGAGTGGTATATGAGCCTTCCAAGACACGTAGCTGATGCATATCACAGTTGGGGGAACTTAACGAAAGCATTCTTGGAGAAATACTTTTCGGCTTCTTGTACTTCATCAATAAGGAAGGAGATCTATTCTGCCAAGCAAGACTATGACGAATCTCTCTATGATTATTGGAATAGATTTCAAGACATGCTTTCAAGATGCCCACATCATCAAATTCCTTATGAACAACTGGTGCAGTATTTCTATGATGGGTTGAAGAACCAAGAGAAGGGTATGTTGGATACTGCATCAGGAGGATCTTTGATAGACTCCACTGCTGAGGAGGCTTAGGATTTGATTAAGAAGATGGCCCTGAATCATCAACAATACGGTGTGAGAGATACTAGAGGAGTACATGAATTGGGAGCTGCTTCAGTTCACAATAGAAGAATGGACACTTTGGAATCAAAGATGGATTTGTTGGAAAGCACGATGACCTCTCAACTGTCTGTAATCACTGCGGAATTGAAGAATATGAATGTGCATAGACTAGCACTCCCTATGGATATTACTGCCCTTAGTTGTGAGACTTGTGGCTTGGTTATGCATATTTCTAGCGTATGTCCAGCCGTTATGAGGAGGTATCTGCAGTCTACCAAGGCCGTCCAAATCAAAAGTGGGACCCTTACTCCAACACTTATAACGAGGGATGGAAGGCCAAACCCTCGATTGTGCTAGAGGAATATGATAGTAGACCTCCAAATAGATTTCAGAAGAGTGGAGGAGGTGGTCCATCTTCAACCCAATTCCAAAACCAATCTCAAGCCCTAACCATCCCACCGAAGGATGATACCAACCAACTCCTACACAATATGATGGCCTTAATGAAGAAGAAAGGGCTGCTAACGCTACTCAGTTCAACTCCTTAGCTTCACTAATTCAACAAGATTCATCCTAGAATGATGCTAGATTTAGTGCTTTGGAAAAGAGGATGAAACAGTAGGAAACTAAGTTTGAGAACATCAACTCCTATAAACTCATTGTCCAACAACATGAGTGAGCAACAAGCAAGGAGCAGTAGCGCTATCCCCTCCAACACTGTTATCAATCCTAAGGGCTTGAATACCATTACCCTTAGGAGTGGGAAGTAAGTGAATTTTAGAGAAGAGGAGGAGGAAATCTTGTGTGATGAGCTGTCACAAGCATCTTCAAAAGCCAAGAATTCTAAAAGCTCCAAGGAAATGAGGCTAAAGCTGAAGAAGCCCAAAAAGAACATGATGGCAAGGGTAAATAGTGGAATCTGAGCCAAGCAATCATGGAGCCTCAAGCAAGGAGGTAAGGAGGTAAACATCAATGAACTACCTTTCCCAATGCTTATTTGAAAAATGTTAAAATGGGTAAGGATAGGCAAGATCATGAGTTGCTTGAGACATTAGGAAGGTAGAAGTGAATATACCCTTGCTTGACCTGATTAAAAAGATTCCTAAGTATGCTAAGGTCTTAAAAGAATTATGTACTCAAAGAGGAGATTTAAACCTAATGAAAGAGTCCAATTACCCTCTAATGTGTCTGCTTTGTTTAAACCCCAAATTCCTGTAAAGTGTCAAGACCCTGGATCTTTCACTATCCCTTGTATAGGAAAGGTTACTATAGGGGGAGCCCTGTTAGATCTAGGTGCAGCCATTAATGTCATGCCTAAGTCCGTATACACCTCTCTAGGAGTCAAGACTCTTAAGTCTACTACTGTTGTGCTCCAACTAGCTGATAGGACTATTAGGTATCCTGAGGGCATTATTGAAGACATTTTAGTCCAAGTTAAGGGATTGGTTTTCCTGCTGATTTTATGTGCTTGACATGTCTTTTGAACTTGTAAATGACACTACACTCATCCTTGGTCGACCTTTCTTAAGGATTGCTAATACCATGATTAGCATGAAAGAGGGCACCATAACTATGGAGGTGGGTGATATAAAAGTTTCTTTTAACATGTATGAAGCAATGAAACATCCTTATGAGGACTATTCACTTTTAGGGGTTAACATGATAGACATTGTTGTTGAGGATGCTTGCTCTGAAGTTGAATTGCAAAATGACTCTTTCTATTCTGATCTTTACACTGATGATTCTATTGATGAGAATGAATCCATTCTTCCTTTTCATCTCTTTACTCTACACCTTCTACTTGCTCATGTGGTGGTGATGTTACATGCCTTGATTGTACTGTGGTTAATTGCATGCTTTCTATCCCACATACATTTTCTGTTTCCTCCCTTGACTCTAAGTTAGACTGTGATTCCTCTATTGTCAGTGATGATTCCCTTGGGGAAAGGTTTCCTGTTGTTGTTTCAGATATGGAGGAAGAAGTCATGGAGAAGAATCCCTCTAAGGCGGTTGCTGTAGATCAACTAGAAGTTGGTTCAATGCTTGGAGAGGAAGTTAACTACAAGGCTGAGGAACTATCATTAGTTGAAGGAAAGGGGAGTAATCTGTTCTCTCTTGAACTTCATAAATTGATTCCTTTATTGTGCAACCACCTACACTTGATTTGAAACCCTTACCACCTACTTTGAAATATGTTTCCTTGAGTCTAATGAACAACTACTTGTTAATTACTAACTCACTGTCTGAGAGTGAGGAAGAGAGACTCTTGTTTGTTTTGAGGGAGCATAGAAGGGCAATAGGTTGGACACTAGCAGATGTGTGCCACACATAGAATTTTACTGAGTGAGGAATCAAAACCAGTGAGACAACCCCAAAGACAATTGAACCCTCTCATATTAGATGTAGTTAAGAAAGAAATTACTAAATGTTTGAGTGCTGGGATAATATATCCAATTTCTGATAGTGAGTGGGTCAGTCCGGTGCATGTTGTGCCAAAGAAGAGTGGGGTAACAGTAGTAAGGAATGAAAGGGATGAGTTAATTCCTACAAGGGTTCAAAACTCATGGCGTGTGTGCATAGACTATAGGAGACTTAATGATGCAACACGTAAGGATCACTTTCCTATACCCTTCATTGACCAAATGTTGGAGAGACTAGCTGGTAAATCACATTACTGCTTTTT